TAGATGTCGACGCCGGGGAAAAGTACTCTTTCCATCCAATCAACAGATTAGTGAAATAATATGTCGACACCCCCCGTCTACTCTTAAATTAGGCTTTACTTTACATAGTTTCTATGAAATCACTGATGACTGTTCTACCAGCAATTACTAAAACTCGGCTCGGCCATGCAATATGCATTTGCTTGTGCATTTGGGTGCAAGATGCGAAATCAAAGTCGTGCACAAAACAACTGTCGCGCACAGGCTTCCCAGCTTTAGCTGAGCATTAAGTTTCTTGCTGAAAACACCTCACAAACCCATACAATCTTCGGCCGTATTCCCCGCCTCTGTTCCCAATTCCTACCTTTCCAACCAATGTCCACCTTCTTTCACCTTTGTTATTGTTGTGAGCAAATGGTGTTGCCCTCCCCTCGAGAACGTTCCAGCGCAGAACCCGAATTCGAAGCGTAGGTCGATTGGAGAAGCTTAGTCTAGTGTGTTGGTTATTGACAGAGCTATAGAAGAAGACCGGAACGTCCAAGGAGCAGCTTCGATAGTAGCTCGAAGGAGCCTGGAACGCGAAGGCGCTGTGGACCGTGAATGCCCAGTCAGCATTAACCGAAGAACCCTAGACTCGGAGCTGTTTAACTGCAAGTGTTGGTATTTCCGTTGTACTAATAAAATCGAACTCGACTTGTGTCACAACGGACACAGCAGTTACGATCCCCTGAGGGCTAAATTAGTACCCCAGTCTTCCTTGCCCACCTTATCATTAGTCCGCCTCTTGGAAAGCGCAAGGAGCCAGACCCACCCCAGTTTGTTTTTAGAAACGCTTGAAAAAGAAAGCCGCCGACAGCCTTGCAAGCGATTAGCTGCAGTTGGTACTGGCTACTACTTTGGATACTTCCGTCTGCTTTCGCTTCTTACAAAGAGTTATTATAGAGCTGTCGCGAGAAATCGGCAAGAAGCACCACTAATCCATATACTGCCTAAAGAAAAACTACTAAGTATGAAAAGATACGTATTACCTATGGAGACAGACAGGAGGCGTGTTCTACTTTGAAAAACTAATTCACTGTAAAAGTAATCCTACGCCAAGCATGAAGCATAAAAGCCGATGGTGCAACGATCTAACACGTCACTTCTGGATGTAAGGACGAGTGGTTCAACTTCCATCCGACTGGTATCTGCAAAAAAAGGGCTCCGTCAAAAACGAATTTTTGACTTTTACACTGCCATTTTTATGCGTTTTTGCATAGATACAAGTGCGAAAATGCATATTGTGACGAAGTATATACGTATATGTGAGTCTGTCCGGGCATTTCAACTCGGCACCCAATCAAGCTCCAGCGCCAAAATTTCGCGAATGCGTTCTGTGGCCAAGTTTCACCCCAAGACCGCGATACCAGTCCTCACGCATGTCTAGGCCCCAAGTATGAGCGCGTGAACTTTCTGGCGGGAAAATCACTAACTCGGGAACCAGAAAAGCTAGAAAGCTGAAGTCTTGAGGTTATCTTCCTCCTCCATATAGAACTTAAAATTATTGAATTCAGCCTCTCAAAAAAACAAAAATAGTGCGTGGTTCCTGCGTACGGCTCATGAAAATTTTTGGCGGGAGAATGACTAACTGAAAAACTAGGGAAACTGGAAAGCTG